AAGCTAGAGGCATCACTTCCTGATGCCAAAATAGCAAGTTATCTGAGAAAGAAATTAAGAGAATGATCTCATTTACAATAATATCAAAAAGAATAAAATTAGGAATAAATGTAACCAAATAAATGAAAGTCTGTGTACTGAAAATTTGAAACATTGATGAAAGAAAATATATAAGGCACAAATGAAGAGATAGCCCATGTCTGTGGCTTGGAAGAATGAGTATTGTAAAAATGTCCATACTACTCAAAGAAACCTATAGATTCAATGCAATCGCTATCAAAATTCCAATGACATTTTCACAGAAGTAGGAAAACAATCATAAAATTCATATGGAACCATGAAAGGTTTGGAACAACCAAAGCCATCTTGGCAGGAAGAACGAAGCTAGAGGCATCACTTCCTGATGCCAAAATATATTACAAAGATGTAGTAATCCAAACAATATGATATTGGAACAAAAATAGACACATAGACCAAAAATAAAGAGTCTCAAAATAAACCCAAGCATTTGTGGTCAACTAATTTTTGACAAGAACATTAATTGTACACAATGGGGAAAGGAGTCTCTTCAATAAATGGTGTTGGGGTGTGGGATGCTGTGGCACAGTAGGTTAAGCTGCCATCTGCAACCCATATGGGCACCTATTTGAGTCCTGGCTGCTCCATTTTTGATCCAGCTCCCTGCTAACGTGCCTGGGAAAGCAGTGGAATGCCTGCACCCATGTGAGCAACCCAGAAGAAGCTTCTGTCTCCTGACTTCACCCTGGCCTAACCCCAGCCATTGTGGCTATTTGAGGAGTGAACCAGCAGATGGAAGATCAATATTTCTCTCTTTCTCTCTCTCTCTGCCTCTCTGTAAATCTGCCTTTCACACAGTGCCACCACGATACCACACAGTTTACTTTCTGGTACCAAGGGGGAGAATCATAACTGCACCATGTTGGTGCTAGGGACCAGATTGCCATTCCCTGAACCAGTCAGTCTCATCACCACTGATGGTAAATGGTCAAATATGATGCGCCTCCCAAACAGCCTGAAAACAGAGTGTACACAAAGACTGAAGTTGAATATCTCCAAATTCCAGTACAGCAACCACAAGAAATCAAGGACAAACTAAATGTCACCATAATGAAGCAACTGGGCAACTCCAGAAGGTGGAGCATTGGGAAGAACAGTTGGCTCTGATTCTTCCATAAACAAGAATCAAGATAAGAAGCGCAGGCAATCAGATCCTGGAATGGGTCATGGCTTTAGCAAACAATTCCAACCTTGAATAGACCCAGAGGAGCTGGAAATTTCTTTCCACACAGAAATCTGCACACAGATGTTTATAGGACCTTTGTTCATAATTGTCAAAACTTGGGAGCAATGTCCTTCAGTAAGCTAATAGATAAACAGAGCAAAGCATCCAGAGTTTGGATTATTCAAGGCTAAGAAGAATTGAGCCATCAAGTTACAGAGGGAACTTAAGTGTATATTACTTACATAAACCAATGGGAGAAGATGTGTACTGTACAACACCAATTATATGACACTCTGGAAAAGGCGAAAAACTCTGGAGACAATAAGATCTGTGTTTTTCAGGGTTTTGGGTGCTGGAGAGGAAGGGATGAACAGGCAGAGCACAAAATATGTTTAGGGCAGTGAAAACCCTATGGATGATGCTGTTCTGGTGGATACTTGTAGTTATTCAGTTGTTTAAACCCACAGAGAATACAACACCAAAAGCAAAACTTAATGCAGACCATGGACTTTGCGTGATCGTGATGAGTGACAATGATGTGCCAAGGTGGGTTCATCAATGGTAACAAATTGTATCAGTCAGATTTGTGTTGCTTTAAGGAGCATCTTGGGGGGAGGAAAAGGTTGATTTTGGCTTACGGTTTAAAAGTTCACAGTTCAAGATCAGAAGGGCTCATTAGTCTGGCATCTGGTGGAGGCTGGCAATGGCGGAGCCGGTGCAGAGGAATGATCACCTGGTGATTTGGCAGCAGAGAGAGACACAGGAGGCATGCCTGGCTTGTGTAACCAACCCTTTCATGAGAACTGCCTTCTGAGAACAAGCCCCTGATGACCCCAAATCCTCTCACCAAGCCCCCACCCCCAGATGCCATCATTAGCTCAAGTCTCCACCCTGAATCCATCAACCATGAGCATGAGATGTTGGAGTTTAAATATCTGCATGAGTTTAATTCATAACACAAACGTACCACTCTGGTGGAGATGTTAAAAATGGGGGGCCTCAGCCGGCGCCGCGGCTCACTAGGCTAATCCTCCGCCTAGCGGCGCCGGCACACCGGGTTCTAGTCCCGGTCGGGGCGCCGGATTCTGTCCCGGTTGCCCCTCTTCCAGGCCAGCCCTCTGCTGTGGCCAGGGAGTGCAGTGGAGGATGGCCCAGGTGCTTGGGCCCTGCACCCCATGGGAGACCAGGAAAAGCACCTGGCTCCTGGCTCCTGGCTCCTGCCATCGGATCAGCGCGGTGCGCCGGCCGCAGCGCGCCAGCCGCGGCGGCCATTGGAGGGTGAACCAACGGCAAAAGGAAGACCTTTCTCTCTGTCTCTCTCTCTCACTGTCCACTCTGCCTGTCCAAAAGAAAAAAAAAAAAAAAATGGGGGCCTCTGTGTGTGTGTGTGTGCGTGTGTGCGCGCGGCAGGGTAGGTGGAGGATATATAAGAGATCTCTGTATCTTCTTCTCAAATCATGCTGTGAATTTAAAATTGTGATAAAAAATAAAGTTTTAGGTGACCAGCATTGTGGTGCAGTGGGTCAAGTCACCAGTTGTAATGCCAGCGTCCGTATCAGAGCACCAGTTTGAGTACTGGCTGCTTTGCTGCTGGTCCAGCTCCCCGCTACTGTGCCTGGGAAAGCAGCAGAGGATGGCCCAAGTACCTGGACCCCTGCCACTCATGTGGGAGACCTGGATAGATTTTCTGGCTCCTGGCTTTGGCCTATCCCAGTCCCAGCCATTGCAGTTGTTTTCAGAGTAAACAAGTGGATGGAAGAATTCTCTATCTCTCTCTTTTTGTCTTTCAAATAGGTAAATCTTAAAATGAAGTTTAGGCCGGTGCTGTGGCTCACTAGGCTAATCCTCTGCCTGCAGCACCAGCACACCGGGTTCTAGTCCTGGTCGGGGCACTGGATTCTGTCCCGGTTGCCCCTCTTCCAGGCCAGCTCTCTGCTGTGGCCAGGGAGTACAGTGGAGAATGGCCCAAGTGCTTGGGCCCTGCACCCCATGGGAGACCAGGATAAGCACCTGGCTCCCGCCTTTGGATCAGCGCGGTGCGGCCATTGGAGGGTGAACCAATGTCAAAGGAAGACCTTTCTCTCTGTCTCTCTCACTGTCCACTCTGCCTGTCAAAAAATAAATAAATAAAATAAACAAAAAATTAAAAAATGAAGTTTAGAAAACCCAATTTTATGGACTTTTAAGGAATAAGTCAGGAAGTTTGACTTAATGGAATAGCAGATTTAAGCAAATATTCAGGCTGAAAAGGAAGGGCACAAATGCTCTGATCACAGATTGGTGATGGGGAAACAGAGACGCTGCTTGCTCTGATTTGATCAGTGCACACTGTGTACTCATACCTGTGCTGTATGCCAAATTGCAACCTGGAGGCACATGCCATTATTGCATATAATGACATAGATTTCTAAACGTATTTTTCGATTATTCATTTTGTTAGATGTGGTAATCTTATTTGGGTTATGTATAAAAATATTGTGAGTTTTATACATTGTGTTTCTTGATTCCATTAACTTTTTGAAGGCCCCTGGTAGGTCATAACTTGTCAAATTCTTATTTTAAATACATAACATTCATTTTATAAAGAGAGGGAGAGAGAGAAAGAAATCTGTCTATTGGTTCACACACACACCCCCAACTGCCTGTAACAGCTGTAGCTGGGCTGGAACCCAGAACTCAAACTGATCTCCTAGATAAGTGGCGAGGACCCAAGTACTTGAACCATCACCTAATGCCGCAGGGTGCGTGTTAGCAGGAAGCTGGATTGGAGATGGAGTGGGGACTTGAACTCAGGCACTCTGCTAAGGGATGTGTGCACTCCCAGGAAGGGAACCTTGGATGATACTGACCATGGTGATGATACAGTGAGTTTCCAAGCTTTTTAGGAATCCAAGAAAGTATCTGAGCTTCACATCCAAAATTGGAAATAATACTAGGGAGCCTTTCCTCCAGTATGTGGTAAGCAAATGCTACAGTTCGCTTGTTGATGATTTTATGACCGAGTTTATAGAGATTATGGTCACTGAACAAGGGCCCAATCTGATGGGCAACCTGGCTGGTATTTCTACTCTACCTTCCTACTCCCCAAACATCTCTGACACTTTTGCCATCATCTCTGTACTAAGTACTGACTGCCTGGGACATAATTTTACTTGAAATAACTGCTAAAGCTGCTAAGTGTTTGTTTTGTGGGAAGTTACTTCTAAGTTCCACGATCGTTTTGTTTTCCATTAATCTTGACTATGTAGGAAAATCAGAGATTTGGAATTGGATGGATTGACTTTTGGAGAAACTAAGGAAAGCACAGAGATCTGGCAGAAATCACTCAGCTTTAGGTGCTAAGAGAACTACCTTTGCTTTCAAGATACTGGTTAAGCCCAGCAGCGAGTCAAACACACACACACACACACACACACACACACACAAACCAGGAAATTGAGGTGGGGTGGGGTGGAATTTTATGTCCTTTACATTTTAACTTTACTGAAGAGGCTAACTGGAGATTTTATTTAGACACTAAATGGGGAAAGGTTTTGGCACTTACTACATAATTTCTGGTTAACTAGACCAGGAAAGCAGCTCTTGACGATACTTAACACCCTCCCAGCTCTGGTGCCTTTCTCTTTCGCCCACTGGAAGGCACAGCATCCTGCCCACCTCGCCCCAGCTTAGGAGTTTTGCTCTTCAGAGCCTTCCCCTTCCACTTCTTCCTTCCTGAGTCCACAGGTAGCCTACCCCTTCCGTCATGGGCACTCACAGGGCACGGTGTCACGCAGATACTCCCACCACTGCCGAAGCGTGGAGTCCCCCATCATGTGGACGATGTGGCCTGCCAGGCAGCCCCGGATGCTGTCCTCAGTGGAAAAGGAGCGACCGGAGCAGGCCAGTGAGTGCCACACATCTCGGTAGTAGAAGCCAGAGGGCCTTGGGGCTGGGAGCCCTGGGTGGCATGGGGGCCGCGGGGACAGGGCTACAAGAAGGAGAAATCATAAAGAAAACTAACGTTAATATCTCACAGTGCGTTGAGCATTCCTGTATGTTCTTCACACATGCTACTTCATTTATTCTTTTACGAAACCCATGAAGCACTATTCTTAGCCCCATTTACAGCGGGGGACACTGTAATCAAGAATAGGACTGGCAGTTCCTAAAAAAAATTTAAAGTAAAGCTACCATATGATCCAGCAATTCCACTTCTGAGTCTGTAAGCCCTAAGGATCAATCAGTCTGTTGAAGGGGTATTTACATTGCCATGTTCATTGTAGCATTATTCACAGCAGCTGAGACAAGCAAACAGTTCAACATATTGAGTGTCTGTCAGTGGATGAATGGATAAGGTGACTATGGTATATATATACATGAGGTTACATTCAGTCTTTAAAAAGGAAATCCTGCTGTTTGTGATGACATGAGTGAATTTGGAGGGCATTGTACTCAGGGAAGTAAGCCAGATGGAGAAAGACAAATACTGTATGATTTCACTTATTTGTGCAATGTTCAAAAAACATGTTTCTATGTTTCTCATAGAGTCAGAAAGTGGGATGGTGGTTACCAGTGGGTGGAAGCTAGAGGAGAGAGAGAGAAAGAAATCTGTCCATTGGTTCACACACACACTCCCAACTGCCTGTAACAGCTGGAGCTGGGCTGGAACCCAGAACTCAAACTGATCTAGATGTGTGCACTAGAGGGGAACTAGAGGGGAGTGGGGAGATGTTTGTCAAAACTTACCAACTTTCAGTTATCAGTAAGTTCTGGGGATCTAAAGTTCAGCAAGATGACTGTGGTTAATGATGCAATATTGTGTACTTGAAACTTGCTAAGATAGTAGATCCTAACTGTAGTTAATGATGCTGTATTGTATACTTGAAATTTGCTGAGATCATGGGCCCTAAGTGTTCTTACCATAAGAACACTTACATGCTAATTAACTTGTTTGTGGTAATGGTTTCCCAGTGTGTATGTATCACATTGTACACTTCATATATATGCACTTATATTTATAAGCTATAGTTAAATATATCTGGGCAAATAAAAAATCAAAGATAAAGGAGGATACTCTTCCATTTGTGACAACAGAAATGAAGCTGGAGGACATTAGGTCAAGTGCAGAACAATTACTGCATGCTTCTACTTCCTCTGAGGAATATAAATAGTCACACAGACATGGCAGAAGGGAGGGTGAGAGGGAATAAGGGGCTGTGGCAACAGAGAGGTATTGGTCAAAGAGTACAAAGTTTGAGAAACATACGATGAATAAATCCTAGAGATCTACAGCACGGCATAGAGCCTGTAGTTAACAGTGTTATATTGTCTATTTATTTTGCAAAATTTATTTTCATTTTGTTTGAAGGGCAGAAAGAGAGAGCTCTTTCATCTGCTGGTTCACTCCCCAAATGCCCACAACAGCCAGGGCTGGGCCAGGCTGAAGCCAGGAGCCTGGAACCCCATCCTGGTCTCTCACATGGATGGCAGGGGCCCAAGTGCTTGAGCCACCACCTGCTGCCTGCCGGGAAGTGCATTAGTAGGAAGCTGGATCAGATGTGGAGGAGCCAGTACTGAAATCAGACACTCTGATATGGGATCAGGGCACTAAATGACCACCTTGTATTGTATATTTAAAAATTCACTAACAGGATAGACCTTTTGTTAGATGTTTTTATTACATCATCATCATCGTTGTCATAAAGAATATGGGGAGAAACTTTTGGAGGTGATGAACATGTTTATGGCATTAATTGTTTTGATGGTATCAGGAGTGTATACTTACTTCAAACACACCAGTGTATATTCATACATTTAATATATATATAGCATTTTGTATTATAACAGTCATACCTCCACAAAGTGATAAAAAAAAAAAAAGAATGATGACTGACAAGGATAGCATGTGAAACCTGTGCAGCTTCATGGTTCAGCCCACACCACTAGCCACTGTACTGTGCTGGCCTGGCAAGGAGAGACAAAACTGCCAGTCCAGGCATAAAAGTCCCACCCCTCTCCCCCCAGCCTATCCCAGCCCCACTCACCCAGACTGACATTCCCTGTGGCTGCCACAGTGATCTCAATTGGAGAAGTGCCATGCGGGAGTAGCTTGTCAGTCACTTTCCTGAAGAAACAGCGAGTCAGCACTGAAGGTTAGTAAAGCCCAGGTAAGCCTGGGTCAAGGTTGCTGGACTTGTGATTTCTACTCTGCCTAATTAAAAAAAAATTGACATGACTACAGTATAATTAGCAAATCCATAATTTGGGGCAAGGATGATCAAAAAACACAGAAGAGAAATCTTATTGGGAGGCTGGGAGAGACTTCCTGCAATGAATCTACCCTTGTGTCTCTCAGCTTACTAACAGTTAAGGTCGGAAAAGAACAACTGAGCTGGACCAGGTGATCCTCCTCTGATAAATGGACATGCACAAGCCTTCCAGGATAGACATTTTCCCACCGCACCCTGGGGCAAATCGTTTTCTGTTATATGAAAACTCAGTGGGCAGCCTCACTCTCCACATTTTAAGTGTGGACTGTGCATACTGACTTCCAAAAATACTGGAAAGAAGAAGATGGTGTAGGAATACAACTTTACCTGATGAACACCTCTTCAGCGAGGTGACAAATCATGCTAATAACATTGTACCCTTGTGATGGGACTAGAAATGGTTTTCCTTCCCAAACACTCAGCTCCAACCTAATCATAAGAAAAAATTCCAGTACAGAGGAATCCTACAGTGCAATTGACTGGTATTTCTCAACACTGTCAAGCTCATTGAGGACAAGGCAAGTCTCCCGAAGATCGATCACAAAGAGTCGTGACAACTCGGTGTCATGGGCTAACTTGAATGGGATTCTGGAAGAGCAAAAAACCACATTAGGTAGAGGTGGCTGCTCAGCCCAGCCGTTAAAGACCGCCGTTAGGATGCCTACATCCCACAGCAGAGTGCCTGGATTCAGTACTCAGCCCTGCTCCTGACCCCAGCTTCCTGCTGATGCACACCCTGAGACACAGCAGGGGATGGCTCAAGTAACTGGGTTCCTGACACCCTAACAAGAGACCTGGACTGGAGTTCCCAGCCACTGGAAATGGAACCACTGTCTGTCTTTGATTGAGGGGAGCTGGATGAAGGGTTTCCAAGACGGTGTGTACTATTTCTGTAACTTCTTGTGGGTCTCTATTTGTTTCATAATAAAACGTTAAGTTTTCAAAAAGTAATGAATACGTCATTGCAGGTATCACAGAGGCATTTTTGATACTGCTGCCCTTTCCTATTCTACTCTTCATAAGGATGTAGTCCCTATCATGACTTTGGTTTTGATCTGTGTCATTTTTTAAATTTTATTTATTTGAAAGGAAGAGTTACAGAGAGGGAGAAGCAGAGGGAGAAAGAAAGAGAGAGAGAGAGAGAGATCTTCCATCCTGTGGTTCACTCCCCAAGTAGCCACAACAGCCAGGGCTGGGCCAAGCCAAAGCCAGGAGTCAGGAGCTTCTTCCGGGTCTCCCAGGTGGGTGCAGGGGCCCATGCCCTTGGGCCATCTGCTGCTGCCTTCCCAGACACATTAGCAGGGAGCCAGATCAGAAGTGGAGCAGCCGGGACTTGAATCAGCACTGCAGGCGATGGCTTTACCTGCTATGCCACAGCGCCGGCCCCCGGGATCTGTGTCCTTAAGAGAAGGGACAGAAGTGTTCACTGTTCATATAATAGGGACAGGGTTGTTCACTGTCTCCTCTGCACGTGAGGAAATGAGGGTCTGAGCAGACAGCTGTCTGCCAACCAGGAAACAAGCCCCGCCACACACCGCACCTGCCGGCACCTTCACCTTGGACTTCTCAGCCTCCAGAAGTGTGAGAAAGCTTTGTTGTTTAAGCCCCCGAAAGAGTTTTGAGAATATAAAAATTATTAGATATTGTTGTATTATAGTTTTAATTTCTCTGATTATTCATGGGGTTGAGTTTTCATATTTTCATTCACTGTTCAGATTTTTCTTGTGTGATTTCCTCTTTCCTTTTGCCTATTTTCCTGGTGAGCTATGTGATTTTTTTTTTATTGTTTCATAGGATTTCTTTACTCAGCCTAAATATGAATCCTGAATTAATTATATGTGTCACAGGTGCAATCTTCCTGTCTATTGCTTGACTTAAGCTATGTTTATGGGACTTTTGGTAATGGAGAAGTTCGTAATTTAGATAGAGCCCAATTCACCAATTTTTAAAAAAGACATTTATTTTATTTGAAATGCAGAGTTACAGAGAGGCAGAGGCAGAGGCAGAGAGGAAAGAGAGAGAGAGAGAGAGAGAGAGGTCTTCTATCCTCTGGATCACTCCCCAGATGGCTGCAATGGCTGGAGCTGAGCCAATCCGAAGCCAGGAGCCAGGAGCTTCTTCCAGGTCTCCCACACAGTTGCAGGGGCCCAAGGACTTGGGCCATCTTCTACTGCCTTCCCAGGCCACAGCAGAGAGCTGGATGGGAAGTGGAGTAGCCGGGACTCGAACTGGCGTCCACATGGGTTGCCAGTGAAGTAGGAAGGTATACTAGTTAAAATCAATTAGGTTTGTGAGCTGGAAGACCACGCCTTCACCATGCCTCTTCGTGATGTCACGCCCTACCTGATACCTTCACCACACCCCTGTGTAATGTCACGCCCTACCTGATACCTTCACCATGCCCCTGTGTAATGTCACGCCCTACCTGATACCTTCACACCCCTGTGACCTCATGCCCCTATCTGGCCATACCTGGGTGCCCACCCACCAATCAGGTTAATTTACCACTGCCCTTTGGAAGTGGGTTAAAAGCCTAGGACACAGTGTGTCCGGCCCTTCTGTTTTCCCTGGCCTCTTGCCAAGAGGGCCTTGCTGTAGCCCTGTGCCTCCAGGGCGCATGGCCTTTGGGTCACCCACCCTAGGCTTCCAGACCTAGATGCCCCGCCATGTGGCTGGTTCCTAGTGCTTGGTATGAATGCAGATTTACCTCTCTTAGATAAAGCTCTCACTTTCCCATGCATCTTTCGCACTAAATAAAAGCTTAAAATGTACCACACTGCCTCGTGTATGGATGCTGGTATTTAGAATTCTTCTCTAAATATTAGGCATGAACCCTCTTGTGCTTATTAATACTGGGGATTATTGATAAGCATATGATGATATCGTACGGCACACTAAATTCCGGTAGTATATGTGACACCCCAGATGGTGCTTCTGGGGAACTTTAAGGGGCCACATTCTTGTATAGATTTTAGGGGGTCATTCCCAATTTCACCAGCACTGTAAACGGCAGGTTTACCCACTATGCCACAGTGCTGCCCCCCCCCCCGTTATGTCTACATAATATTAGTTATGCTCATGTATCTGGTCTCTTCCAGGATCTATTCACGTCTAAGCAAATGCTGAGAGGGGGCCTCACAGCCTGCACCTTTGCTCATTGCAGTTTTGGCTTCTGTACTCTGCTTGCTTCCTTGCCCTCATTTTACATCATCCCTGTTTCACCACGATTAGACAGAGCAGGCCGAGTTCTCAGAACCGAGGAACGGCATACAATTCCCGGAAAGGTAAGATCAGGGACCACAAGTGCATATCACAGTTTTTTTTTTTTTATTGTTTAAGATTATTTCTTCACTTCCTCCTTTTTAGACAGTAGCTTTCACTTTTTAAAGCGCCAATGAAATGTATAGGTTCATAAAAACAGCCAAAGAGAAAATAAGAAAGTGCTTACGCATACACCTGTTTGTGCTGGATTATATAAGCTTTGTGTAAACTGGGCTGGGGGCTCTCCTTTGCCATACCACTGTTACCGGGAAGGCAGGGAGGGTCCGAGTTCGAACTCACAATAAACGACCCCTGCAATTTGCTTCGACTTTGGACTCTGGTGGTCTCTGATTCTTGGGGGTAGTCGATCATCGGGCACTTCAATGCCACAAGATCAGGTCAAGAAACTTGAATAGAACTATTTGACACAGGAAAATGTAAAATATAAAGAGTGGGAGAAACGAAGAGGGGGAAGGAAGGAGTGAGAAAGGGAAGCATTATTATATTCTTAGAATTGTACCTAGGAGGAGAGTAGTAAGATGGCGGTATAGCAGCAAGGTGTGCCGAGTCACACAGAGAGAGATTGATGAATCGAGGGGACAGTCAGGCGATGGAACCACGAAAGGTTGGTGTGGAGTGGCACAGGAGCACACCAGAGAGTGCCAGGGACCACCCCGGGGTAGGTAGAGGTGCCCAGAACTGCAGGAAGAGAAGAGAACAGAACAAAGAACCAGTGGGAGGATGACCACCACCACCGCCACTGCCTCCAACCCACCCTGGGACGGACACGTGAGACACAAGCACGGATGAGTGGGGAAGGAAATCAAAGCAAAGTGAATAGTGCTTGCTGCTGTAAGCGGGAAGGGGGCGCGATCCTGGGGGATGAACTGAGAGACTGAACAGGCCACGATTCCTCCATGTCTCCCCCCAACCAGAGAGAGCTGCTGCAGGCGGAGAGCAGCCATCTGTTGTATACATTCGGGAGTGAAAGAGGGCAGGTTCTGCTTTTGCCTCTACAACTCGAACTTCAGTGGTGGGGATCACCCCACCCCAGGGAACAAGGACCACAGTGGTTTAGACTGACTCCCCACTCATCACACAGGGGGCACAGTGACAGGGGAGCTGAGCAACGGAGGCCCAGGCGCTCTGGGTGAACAAAGGAACAGGCAGACCAGCCCCATGGGGTGGAGCTTAGTACCTCAAAACCCAGGTACCAGCCTACTCAAGTACCCGCCTCCCTCAGTTTCCAGAAATAAACAAATGCTAGAAGGTGGAGCTGCCTGCTGACACTGGCAATCAGCATAGACCCATAGCAGAGGGAAATCAACCTAAAAATTAAACCAAACAGAAACCAACAGAAATGCTGAACAGCAAAGGAAAAATCCTGAATAAGAATACAGAAAAACCGGCCGGCGCCGCGGCTCACTAGGCTAATCCTCCGCCTAGCGGCGCCGGCACACCGGGTTCTAGTCCCGGTCGGGGTGCTGGATTCTGTCCCGGTTGTCCCTCTTCCAGGCCAGCTCTCTGCTGTGGCCAGGGAGTGCAGTGGAGGATGGCCCAGGTGCTTGGGCCCTGCACCCCATGGGAGACCAGG